TTTAACTGAATTGATTGCACACTCGTCAGTCATAATTCAGATTTTTACCTTCCATCTGTGTTTTTGTTTTGTAGTATCTAACAGGGAAATCCCAGAGCAAGGTCTTGAAAATACGGCTATGAAAGTCCTGCCTGCTGAGAAAATGACTCCCGAGAGGGTTTATGGTAAAACTGGTTCTATGAGAAAGACAAAGGTTCCCATAACTGCAACACCTTACACCGTGGCTTCCCTCCAAGTTGCGACGAATAGCTTCTGTCAAGATTCCCTTCTGGGAGAGGGTTCACTTGGTCGTGTTTACAAGGCTGATTTCCCCAATGGAAAGGTAAAAATATGCTTCCTGCCGTTTTAAATGAGTTATAGAACCCTGGTGGAATAACAAGTCCTTGTATTACTCATAAACGTCAAGTTTGTGGGTGACTGAATCAGCTCTATTCCCATTTTTTGCCAATCTGGAGTGTGAAACTATTTTATGCATTTTGAACTTGAGCATTATGAATATAGCAGATTATTCATTTACCATGGTTAATCAAATAAGAATTGGTTACACTGCCCAGGCGATTATTGTTTTCTAGCATGTTTACTATAAAATGCATCAAATGTAAGAATATAAGAGGTTTTTAATACATACACCCTCTTCCTCTTTTCCCCCTCTGTAATGCTGTGCACTCCAGCTGAATTCTATGCCACTTTTGCAGGTTATGGCTGTTAAGAAGGTAGACAGTGCCGCTATTTCCTTGCAGGAAGAAGATGATTTCCTTGAGGTTGTATCAAGTATGTCACGACTTAGGCATCCAAACATCGTGCCACTTACAGGGTACTGTGTGGAGCATGCGCAAAGGCTTCTTGTTTATGAGTACATTGGAAATGCAACGCTGCATGATATGCTGCACTTCTCTGATGAGATGAGCAGAAGACTTACATGGAACATCCGTGTAAGAATAGCACTAGGCACTGCTCGGGCATTAGAGTAAGTTACTTTAATCCCTTGCTATTTCTGAAGGTTCTAGTGGATGACACATATAATGTTAACGTTTTCCAAATCTTTGTATAGATACCTGCATGAGGTGTGCTTGCCATCTGTTGTTCATAGAAATTTTAAGTCCGCAAACATCCTACTTGATGAAGAGCATAATGCACATTTATCTGACTGTGGGCTCGCTGCCTTGACACCCAATACTGAGAGACAGGCAAGTATCACAAATACATCCAAGTACCGAGATAGTTATCAAATGGCACCTGTAGGTGTAACCTGCACTAACTACTTGGTTTGTCCTTCCAGGTTTCTACTGAAGTGGTTGGCTCATTTGGATACAGTGCCCCAGAGTTTTCCATGTCAGGAATTTATACTGTAAAGAGTGACGTGTACAGTTTTGGAGTAGTGATGCTAGAGCTATTGACCGGAAGGAAGCCACTAGACAGGTATATACCCTCTAGCTTCTATTCTGATCCTGTTGTGTTACACCTTATAATTAGTAAAAATGACCTTTGTACGGCTGTTGCAGTTCTAGAGAGAGGTCAGAACAGTCTCTTGTTAGATGGGCTACGCCTCAGCTTCATGACATCGATGCACTTTCTAAGATGGTTGATCCAGCATTGAACGGAATGTACCCTGCGAAATCACTCTCCCGCTTTGCAGACATAATTGCACTCTGTGTTCAGGTACCGTCTTTCTTTGGGACAGATATTCAGTTGTATGGCAGCATTTAATAATTTATACAGTTTTGCTAAAGCACATGATGTGCTATAAGTATTGCACATCTAAGTCTAGATGTGCTATAAGTATTGCACATCTAAGTCCTATGTCATTGATCTTATGTTGAGATTCGTGTAGATATTTTTTTTCTTTTTTCTCTTTCTCTCTATGCTTGATTCACTCACTTAGATGTGCAATAACTAGAGCACATCTAGATGTGCCCTAGACACACCCTTATTTATAAAAGAAGAAAAAACAGTCTTATAGTTTATTCAAATTCTTGCAATCTTACGTGGCTAATCTGATTAATATTGCAAGTACTAAATTACTTGATCTATGTTTGAGTTGCTTCGATTTACAAAGCAAATGCATGTGTCATAAAGTTACCCTGGCTCATTTCTTAGAATTTATTCTTGGCATATTTTGCCTCATGTATTTCATGTCAGGGGCATATCCTAATACCTAATAATTGTTTCTGTGATTTCTTTGTGCAGCCGGAGCCAGAGTTCCGTCCTCCTATGTCTGAGGTTGTCCAGCAACTTGTGCGCCTGATGCAGAGAGCTAGCATAGTAAGGCGGCAATCAGGCGAGGAACTTGGGTTTTCTTACAGAGCTCCAGAACGCGAAGGAGATGCGAGAGACATTTCCTTCTGAGCATTTTCTTGAATGGCAAAAGTGAAAAGGAGGTCTGAGGGACAAATACAAGAATTGGGTGACTGCACATGAACTGGATACATGAGTTGTTCAGTTGTTCAGACGGTTGAGGATCAAATGAATTTGAGAAGATAATTTTGGTATTTACATTGTTCAATTATGCTCATTCTTCTCTTCGTTTTGTTCGGGGTAGTCTACTTCACAGTTAAACTGTGTTCTCAAATCAAGGGCGTGTACAGCATGTTAGTCGGGGTAGAGAAAAGAAATGTTAATGCAACAGGATAACTCTGTTGGATGTCAAACAAGTACATACCTTTTCCTTGGCATTGCGTTCCATCCTACTTCATGTTCTTACTGTATAGGCTAAAATTTCTATGATTATGCGACCTTTTGTAAGTAATTTATGGGAAAACTTTGATCTGTGTTTGTCCACCATGACATATAATACATGGAGTGAGCGATACCTCAGTATATGAACTATACATCTCAATAGCGTACGCAGCAGCAGCAAGAATTGTATTGTTACATCTCTCTGGAGGTCCTAAGCTGCTGTTGCTAGCAGTGCTATTTAAATCCTCCTCTTTGCCATCATAGATACGTACATTTGAGAAAAGCTATGCCAAAATCAAAGACCCCCATGAAGATCTTGAGATGAGAAATGCAGGTACATACATACCCTCTAAGTCATCACCTATCCTTGTCCTGTATCAAGTTGCCGACCATCTTGGCAAGAGGCACGGTGCCCTTGGCCATGATCTCCAGCTTCGATGTGTTGGAAGCGTGCGCGAACAGCGAGAGCCCGAACATCAAGAGCTCGGGCAGGAACAGCCTCGACGAGAGGAAGCCGTGCCAGTAGTGCGGCTCGAGGTCGAAGAACGCGTTGAAGAAGCGTCGTGTACCTTGGAGGTCCAGCTTGAGCAGGACGTCCATGCCGAAGCAGAAGAATTCCCTCTGCCGCCGCCTGTCCGTCGGCCACAGCTCCTTCCACACCTCGGCGGCGAGCGCGTCCCCGGCGATGCCGCCGTTGCCGGTGTCTAGAAACCGCACGATGGAGTCTGCCACGATGGGCGCGGTCGCCAATGTGCGCGCCACCATGTACCCTGTGGAGGGATGCACCATCCCGGCCGTGCCGCCGATGCCTACCACCCTCTGCGGCAGCACGGGCAGCGGCCCGCCCATGGGGATCACGCAGCGCTCGTCCTCCTCGACGCTCCTGATGCGAATTCCCAGGTGCCTCAGCCGCGCGGCCATGCGCTCCTGGATGTCGTCCATGGAGAGCCCCGGGCGCGCGACCAGCGACGTCTCCTCGAGGAAGATCCTGGTGGGCGAGAAGGGCATGGCGTAGAGGAAGGTGGGCACGCGGCTGTTGCGTTCCTTGATCGCGGACCCCTCGGGGAGGTGGGAGTCGCGCCAGTCCATGAAGAGCATCTTGTCGATGTCGAAGGGGTGCTCGTCGACCTCGGCGAGGATGCCGTAGGCGACCTGGTATCCCGGGTTGTAGGGCTTGTCGTACTGCACGAGGCAGCGGGAGAAGCCGGTGGCGTCGAGGACGACGGTGGCCGGGACGGCGACGCCGTCGTCGCAGATGAGGAGGGAGGAGGCCTCGTTGTGGACCACCTTGGCGACCTTGGCCTGGTGGAAGCGGACGCCGTGGGCGATGCAGCGGTCCATCATGGTGGACTTGAGCTTGCGGCGGGCGACGCGGGCGTAGGGGCGGTGGAGCGACTTGGAGGTGCGGTCGTCGATGAAGACGGAGGCGGAGGGCCAGACGGTGTCGAGGCAGTCGGAGAGGCCCATGGCCTCGAACTCGTCCACCCAGACGCCGTAGTTGTTGGGCCAGACGAGGCCCGGGGAGGGGTCGATGGAGACGACGGAGAGGCCCGCCTCGGCGACGCGCTGCGCCACGGCGAGCCCCGCGGGCCCGCCGCCCACGACGGCGAGGTCGACGGGCCGGGAGCGCGCCGGGTCGTAGCGGGGCAGGTCGAGGGACAGCAGCTCGGGCCGCGGCGGCGGGGCCAGCGAGCGCAGCGCCTGCCCCGCCGACACGGACGCCGTGGCCCTGCAGACGATCGCCGCCCGCCCCGGCGGCGCGGGCCGTGGGGCCTGCGGCGGCCGGCAGGCGTGGTGGGCGCGGAGGAGGAGGGCGGTGGTGGCCATGGGAGGTGGGGATTCGCTGCCGCGGCGTGGCCGTGTAATCCTGAGTCGATAAGCTACTTATTGTAGAGTGGGGGCGGGGCGAGGGAGAGAGAGGTGAGCTGAGGGCGGAGTGGTGGGGAGCCACCACACCACTGCCTGCCGTCCGTGGCCGTGGGTGGCGGATTCCACCGGGTAGATCCTGTGAAGGTGGTGCGAGCGTCGGGACAAGAGGTGGAGGGGAAACCCATCTCGGTTCCGCAGCCGCCAGCACAAAATACACATGGACTGGATTGGATATGCTTGTCTCTCTTCAAAACCTCCAAAATCCGTCGGAGCAGTGCGCTGCTAGAGCGGAAGGAGGATCTGGGGAATAGGATGCGTGTTAGTTCGGCAGTGGCTGGGCTAGCGATCAGTCGGTGTCAGGACGAGTACGGACTGCAGCTTGAAATCGACATGATAGGCCGTAGTGAATTCTCCCCCCAAAAAGGATTACAGTACTGTATTTACTTCACAAAATACACCACATTTAGCAATAGACGAGATGACACTAATGTGGTATCTAGTAAAAGGGAAACAGAAGTTATACCTTTGATTTGACAATTTCATTCAAGAGTTTCGAACAAACCGGCCGATCCATGCGATAACAGACATCGATCGGGTCTCTTTCATTCACAGGAAGGATTTTCACATCGACTTTGGAGAATTGGGATCTTTAGAAGAAGAAGAAAAAACTCTATATCAGTCGTGTGATCTGTATTGCCGAGTCCTAAAGATTTTCTTCAAAGGATCCTTTTACATTACATTTGAAATTTTTCATTCACTCAAACCTCTTGGAAAATCTCTTTTGTGTTTCAAGTTTTTCGATCGAACAAAAACTAAGGCAAATACATTCATGCAATATTTGAGTGGGCATGACGTTGCAGTCATGCACTTTTTATTCTTGTGATTTCGTGATCCCTCAAATCAAAGAGCCCAAAGTACTATTGATAGAAGATCAGTTCGCATGTATCAGGAAAGCTTGTGGTTGCTCGACTATGATATGATAAACCGAAATGACATCTTAGCCTCTATGTGGGTTTTGGTGATAATGATGGATGACTAGGGGACTAATTGTATTTATAAGTGTAAGAAAAGTTTTTAGTCATATGAAAATAATGTAAAAGTGGCCGGTGTTGGAAATATGTCTTGGAGGCAATACTATTGTATTATTATATTTCTCTGTTCAGAATTAAGAGTATATATTCTATGCTATAACTGCTATGGTCCTGGAATATGCGATTCAGTGGAAAACTCATATGCACGTGTGGAATGATAAACGGTAAAATAAGATTTCCTAATCTCGCCTCGAAGACTAGCTCAAGTGTTGTTGGTGATCACATTTTTTGGATCTTAGGATATCATTAAGTGTAATGATAGTCCTAAAACAACATTGAGAATATGACGTTAGAAGAACGATCATATTGAATCGGCCAAACTTGTTTGTTATACTTTGAGATGATATCGTCACAAGTTAATTACTATAACGCGGAGTGTTAACATGTGTTTTAGTTCCTTAGACCAAGAGAGTATCGTAATCACTTCTTACCGTACGATGAACTTTGGGTTTGCTGAAACATCATCAGTAACTTGGTGATCATAACGGCAACTTACAAGTTCATCGGAAAGTCTGACAAGGGACTCGATAGCTCGAGAGTGGAATTTGCTCCTTCAAGGATGGAGAGATATTCTTAGGGTCCTCTCGGTGTGACGGCATCCATCATCATCTGGCCAGACATAGGTGACTAAGTCACGGGGATGCCGAAACACGACAACGAGAAAAAGAAGAACAAAACCGGCAACGAGGAGACCGGTATAGTGAGCATGTGTATCACTCAAGAGGATACCGAGACATCTCACCTCGGGTTTTGTAAAGTATCACGAAGCAAAGGGAACATCACATGATAACCATTCACTCGAATGTCATCCGTGTAATCATAGGGATTGATATGGACACCCACAGTTGCGCTATCGACCATTGTGCAAAGGGGTTTCGTTCATGTCTATGATTTAGGGAACCTACAAGGTCACAAGATTAAGGTAATCATGATATGCGGAGTGTTATTAGAACCAAAGCATCAAGGATTTATTTGTGAAATTGTTTCATTAATTCAGAATAGTTTCAAGAGGAATCAGAAGCGTTTCGGGTCACGGGAAGGGTTTCAGAGCTTATTGGCAATACCGGGTATTACCAATAAATAATATATAGGTGGAAAATGTTTCGTGGGATGCTAAATTAATAATAAAAGGCTCTAGTAATTGTTAGGAGGCTTTTATATTTAATTTAATATCAATGGGCCTTAAAAGACCAAGTGGTGGAAGGAATATTTGGTCACCATGACAAAATAGGGAAGGCTCAGTGGGAGGCCGAATTGGAGTGGGGGGAGGAGTCCTATAACTCCCCCTTGGCTGGCGCACTAGGTCCTCTCCCCTCTAACCTATATATACTAGAGGATTTTGCCCTTTGGGACACACAAGTTTTGGAGCCTCATGTGGTTCATCTAGTTCTAGTTCTAGTTCTAGTTGATCCTAGTTGATATAGCTAGACCTAGTTCCTCTAATCCTCATAATTAGAAGCCCAGAGTGGTTCTAATCTCCTCCCTCTAATTCTCCGGCGATGATTAGCTCTGGACGGCGAAGCGCTGTGGGATCGTGAAGACCGTACGCTTGCAACCAAGTAGAGAGGCCATGCTTTCGGTCTTCCATTTGCGGGATCATTCGAGGGCGGTTCGCGGGATCGTCATTTATGGTCCAAGGGACTCCATGTACGATTTACACCGACTCGTCTAATTCTGCTGCACTCCGAAGTCGGTAACGATCGTTGATCCAAACCTTATATGCATCTTCATATTGTTCTTGGGTGATCGTAGGGCATTTTTTCGTTTTCTACTACGTTCCCCAACAGTGGCATCATGAGCGGTTCTATGAGTAGAAGCAAGTTTCGATCTAGATCACATGTGGATGGGAGGGTTTGATGTTCTTGATATGCTTCGCTCGAGTGTTGCTTCGGTTCAGTTCATTGACGGCATGATGTAGCTTTGTATAAAGTTCTGACAATCGGTCGGCTCTGGCTGTCGACGATCTGCTAACAGTTCTTTGGGCTTCATCATAGTCAAGAATAGTGAACCATTGCGTACACAAGAGGGCGATGAAGATGAATGATCTTCTAGGGGGTCATGCAAATTTGATGAAGTTTAGTGTGGGGCTAGAGATTTTTAATTAAGTCTCTTCCCTCACACACCCCAAAAGTTATCTAGCAACAAGATTATCGCCTTGATTGTGCACATATGTAGTTAGTGTTATCCAGAAACCCTAGCATCCACGTAGTTTTATAGGTTTGCATATGATGTGGTATAGCCTTCGTCATGATAATGAGTTTATGTATGAGATGGTTATATGTTTTAATGTTAAGTGGCCTGTGCGTCATGGCATGATGGCTAGAGCCACGAGATTGCCACTTTAATGTAAAAGATGTAGAGATCTCCTACAGGTTATAGGTGATGGTGGCAAGTGTACACGAACGACCCCCGACGTGGAGAAGGTGTACCGGGCGCATGAAGGAGGTGCTGAAATTTCCGTCCAACGGCAACGTTTTCTAAAAGTGGTGCCACAACAACGTTTTTGAAACGGTCGCCACGACAACATTATCAGAAATTGCCACTGAGGGAGTCCTGGATAAGGGGGTCCTCGGGCGTTCGGGCTATGTAACATGGGCCGAACTAATGGGCTGCAAAGATACAAGATAGAAGACTTTCCCCCGTGTCCGGATGGGACTCTCCTTTGCGTGGATGGCAATCTTGGCGTTCGGATATGAAGATTCGTTTCTCTATAAACTGACTCTGTACAACCCTAACCCCCTCCCGTGTCTATATAAACCGGAGGGTTTAGTCCATAGGGGCAATCATAATCATACAAGCTAGACATCTAGGGTTTAGCCATTACAATCTCGTGGTAGATCAACTCTTCTAACCCCTATACTCATCAAAGTCAATTAAGCAGGACGTAGGGTATTACCTCCTTCAAGAGGGCCCAAACCTGGGTAAACATCGTGTCCCCTGCCTCCTGTTACCCTCGATCCTTAGACGCACAGTTCGGGACCCCCTACCCGAGATCTGCCAGTTTTGACACCGACATTGGTGCTTTCATTGAGAGTTCCACTGTGCCATCGTCGAAATGCTCGATGGCTCCATCGATCATCTACAACAATGCTGCCGTGAAGGAGATTTTTCTCCTGGGCCAGATCTTCGTATTCAGCGGCTTCGCACCGTGTGCCAACTCGGTTGGCCACCTAGAGCAGATTGACAGCTATGCCCCTGGTCACCGGATCAGTTTTGGAAATCTGAACTATGTCGCTGATATCCGAGGAGACTTGATCTTCCAAGGATTCGCGACCCTAGCCACTGCTCCGGCCTTAGATCCGGAGCGCGTCACCAGGTCCGAAGACGGGAGTCTAGAGCCCGCGAGACCCTCTACGGCCATAGAGCTCAACACTGGAGAACCGGAGACAATAGTGTCACCGGCGGTCATCTCAAGACCGAACTCTTCTTCGGACACTGGCTTTGAATCCTCGAAGTCCGCGTCATGCAAGCTCGGCCCAGGAACTTCTGTCCCCATCCAAACCTCGCTCTTAAACGAGGCTTTGGACTTAATGTGATCCATCGCCATCACAGAGGAACTGCTTCCGAATTACGCCCAACCCGGACTAGGGGCTGAAAATAGGGAATTTTACTTCCCACCCACCACCCACTTCATAGCCAGTGTAGACGATCTAACCGACATGCTCGACTATGCCTCCGAAGAAATCAATGGTATGGACGACGATGCCAGAGAGGAGCAGGTCCAAAACCCGCCGTTCACCGGACGCTGGACGACCACTTTCTCATACGACGTGTACATGGTGGGCACACCTAAAGAAGGCGACGACGATGATGAAAAGGATCCATTCGAGGATGAACCTCCTGAGATACCACCAAAGTGTTGACGTC